ATAAGGGAAGATCCACAGATACATAACTTGAACTTTCATAGAAAAGGTGGAACACAAATGTAATACAGTTATGTAAAGGCTACAACATGAAAAAAAAAAAAAAACATTGTCTTCAGTTAAATTTCCAGTTTTGGTAACCAAGAGCTCATTCTTGCACCTTGTTTTCTGCTGACAGCATGCATGCACTACTTAACAGTTTGGAAGTGGATATTTTTTAAACAGGAATTTTCGTAAAACATTAGGGGAATCTCTTCCGTTTGAAGGAACCTTTTCCAGCCCTTTAGTTTCTTACATTGTGCCACCTAGTGTATTCATATCATGAATGCATGAGAATGTTTTTGTCATTTTAGGTGTCATAAGCCTATGGTTTTTTGCTACTTCTGACAAATACGGGTTCTCTTCTCTAATGCCCACTCTTGCTTCCTCTTGAGCAAAATACAGATAGGGTGGGAGAGCTTCTTCCTGCAAAAGGCTCTGCCCTGATTTGTTTCATTTGAATGATGAGAGGCCTTTTGCCCTGCCCAATATTTATTCTGCTTGTAGCTTGTGGAGGTCTGTGCAGTGTAGATTGCTTTGTACGGGGATTGACGATTTTGACTTACACATTTTGGATTAAATGGCCTTTTGCTCTATTACACCGCTATGAATCTGAGAAATCGGACCTGAGAACAGGATGAAAAATGTGGCTTCACCTGCCTGTTACTCACTGATTACTGTTGAACCTTTTTTTTTTTTTTAACAGTTCTTATAAAGAAATCTGATCTGATCTAGAAAATGCTGGTCCTGGTTGAAAAAAAATTATCAGGAATTGTAATTATTGATTACAGTAGAATAAACATTAATTAGTTACTGGTTGTTTTGTTTATTATTTACTGTGGACATTTTTAATGGTTAATGGATGTTTTTGTTAATTATTTTATAAACTGCTGTGTATCTATGTGGACTAGGCAGTATTCAAGTTGAAAAAGTAAAAGTAGCATAAATAAATAAATGTATAGGAATATAAGTATACCCATTATGGAAATACCTTAAAATCACCAATTCTCAGTGTTGTTCTAATCCCGACTAGACATTTAGGCAAAACCAGTCTCCAGTGCCTTGGACATTTGTCACATTCAAGTAAACTAGACAACATTTTCTCTTCACTTAATACTGGTAGTAGAGTTAGCCTGTGTAGTCCTGCCCCTTGTACACATGAATACCTACATTATTAAGGTTGAATGCTTGGACAGGACAACTGTATGCCTTGTTTTAGTATAATGTAAAAATTTCTTGAACTTTACTTCTGGTGACTTCATGTTTTCTTGGCAACAGTATGGAAAGAGTTTGATATTGCCTTTTTCCAGGATTTTTTTTTTTTCAACTTCCCAATCTAGCCAACTGTCCTGAATTATTGGTAATCTCCCACCCAAGTATTGATCAGAAATGATCCTGGCTAGTTCCTCAAAATCAGTCACATAATTGGTATTTGAGTGCTGTTTTTCTTACCATCTAGTGATTTCAGGTGTCAAGCAGGTTATTCAAGTGTCTCAGATGTGAAGCAGATCATTTAGAGAAGTCATACTATATTAGAAAATGTCTTGTCAAATGTTATATGAATTCAGTGAAACAGATTTTTAAAATGCTGTGTTGGAGCATTTTTTTTTAATCACCAAGAAAAAATGTCTATTTTCTCAGTGAATCTGAAGGCTTAAAACAGTTTTTGATTATTTTGGTAGGTCCTAACTGGTGATGCAGGTGAAGATGCTGAGTGCCATGCAGCGAAGCTCTTAGAGATTATTATTCTGCAGTGCAAAGGAAGGGGTATTGATCAGGTAATTATTGATTGGAATTTTTTTTCTTTGCCTAGTTCATAAGGTTCAGCCAGAGTCTTGGAGACCTGTATGTCTAAGAAAAAGGATTTAGGAGGGGTGAAGCTTGTGCTTTGCAGACAGGCATTTTTTCCTTTTGATGCAACTGGGATGAATGGGATTGCCTCATATTCAGGGCCTAGTGTTCCTTTTTCCTCCCTTCTCACTTGAGCCATCAGGAAAGTGGGATTGGTTTAAAATTTTTCTGGCATGCTTTTCCTCAGTTATAGTTCAAAGGGATTAATAACAATAGAAAATTAAAACATCACTGTAATACAAGGTAATACAAGGTACTGTAATACAATCTGCAGAATGTGGGAAAGATTACCGAAGAGTTCAACAGATACATGAAAGACAGTTAAAATAATGTTCCATTTGATCTTAGAGCATCTAAGGCCCCAGGACTTCCTAAATGGAAGGCCTTCACTTGTCAATATTTTTTAACGAGAGGGCAAGACAACCTGGGTGCGCCCTTTTCTTTAGCTATGCTGTGGAACTATTTTGTGACATCCTTGAAAGTTAAGCTAAGGGGAAGCTGTGTGGATCATGTGAAAACTCCCTGAACATGGCATAGCTGTTGCTCTATGGAGGGGGGGACTTTGATAGGCTCTTTCTTTTTTTAACAGGCTCATGCCAAAGATGGCAGCAGCTCTTCCTTCAGGGTCTCTATAGGCAGTAGGAGGGCGTGTCACTAGTTCCCTTAGAGCATTGCTGACAGTTGCTCAGAGGGATCTGTTAGGTAATGCCGCATTGCTCTAACTAGTCAGATGGAGTGAGAAGATGTTGAGAGGGTGAAGGAGGACTGTGGTGGGACAAACAAGGGAGAGAACTAGTCACCTAGTCAAGAGAAGAACTGAGGATGGCAGAGGTTGGAGGCTTCCTCCCCACACCAGTTGCTCTTGATTTGATGACAAGGGTTTTATTTTCTGCATTCACCCATCAGATGGCGCTCAAGCTTTGAAAATGAAACCCAACCACTGCCATGAGAGGTTCACGGGTGACATAAAGGTAGTCCATAACAACACCTGGGGCTTGCAGATGTTTTGGAATACAGTAGCCATTATCCTGAGTCCGCATGGTTATTGAACAAAGATGATGTTGTCCAGTACATCTGGACAAGGAACATGAGATTGCCAAACCAGGAGTACCAGGTTTGGCCTATATTACATGAATATGGATTGTATCTGTTAAAAAAAAAAAAAAGATCGAGTTCATCAAAGTTACATAACCAGAAAAATTGAGTTTCTTGACCAGCAAACAATTAAGGAAAACAGAGTTTGGTTTCTTTTACTTAGTGACTCCCTTTTTTCTTCTTTAAAAAGAATTTCCTAGCCATGGGGTGGAGCAGAAAGGAGAGTGATATTTCAGTTCCTGACCTCTGATGATCTTACACAACAGTTCCTCTGGCTTCTGGTATTTCCTGAGGCAATAAATCCCAACAGCAATCATCACAGTGCCTTTAAAAGGAGAGAGAGAGAGAGAGAGAAAGAGAGAGAGAGAGAGAGAAGGGGGGGAAACAGCTGGATTTTTTTTTTTAGCAAACAGAACTCTGAGGCCAGTATCCCATCCAGTTATTACAAAATATCCTTCAAGGTCATTTAAGGAAGTGTGAAGTGTGTGCTACCTCACTGAAACAGAGTTGTAATTGATTTCAGCAAGAGGAGGGCTGAATCCTTTTTTATATAGGATCAATATCTGAAACATTTCAACCTATTTCTCTTTTCCCCTTTCCCTTGCTGCTTCTCCCCATATCTCCTGTTTCTATCCCTAGTGCATCCCGCTGTTCGTAGAAGCTGTTCTTGAGCGCTTAACGCGAGGGGTTAAAACCAGTGAGCTCCGCACCATGTGTCTCCAGGTTGCCATTGCTGCCCTCTACTACAACCCAGAGCTCCTTTTGCACACTTTAGAGAACATCCGGTTTCCTCATAACCCAGAGCCAATCACTGCACAGTTTATAAACCAGTGGATGAATGACACAGACTGTTTTCTTGGGTAGGTGTATGGCGCTTTCTTTCTCAACACCTTCCGGTTTCTTGGAGAATAACCTTTTGACCTTACTTTGAGAGGAAATGCCAGGATAATTTTACTTGCTTCCCTCTCCCTGCCCCAAGGTGTGCTGTTGTACTATGAAATATCATGTAGTGGCCTTTGGAATGGTATTTTTAAAAAAAATAAAATTAAATTGATGTGCTCCTCTTCAGAGTAAGTTTTTCTCATGAGCCCTACTTTGTATGAATAGTACGAAGTACTATTTGTAGAAAACTTTACCTTTCTCTCTCCCCAAGTGGCATCCAGTGCATGGAGCTACAATTTGAGCTCCCCACTTTGCTTGGATTTAGCTGTAATGTCAAATTCAGAAAGAAAGCATATACGTTAACATAGTCTAGCTAAATTAAATCAGGATATTTAAAACCATAATGGGAGACTGTTACAGTTGGTTGAATTCATTTTATAGGGAATTGGCTGAGTTTCATTAGCAGGGCAACTTGTCATTGGCACTTGTATATTTGATGTTACGTAAAATTAAGAATGTTTTGTCTTTTTAAAAAGCGAAAAGCAAATTACTTTGTATTCTGTTTTCTAAACCACTTAACTACTGTTGGCTTTTAATCATAGGATGTGTAGCTTTTACTCTTGGCTTTGGCACCACAGTGACTAAGAATAATCCACTTCAGCTATATAAATAAATCCCCAATTTTACTAATTTTTGTTTTTTCTTTTTAAATTAGCCTTCTGTACTTTCCAATACATGTTACATTTCCCTATGTATATTTTCAAAATCATAGTGCACTTTTTGGTCCAGATTGATTTCCTGAGCAGCTTATAATTAAAATGTACGCAGAGATGCAATTATAATTAGGGATATTTTGCTGTGGATACAGAGAAGGGCAGCCGCTCTTGCAGCTCACAGTGTGGTCTGGCTTCAAGGTTCTTCCTTCCAGAGGGAGGAGAAGTTGCTGCAGTTGGACTCAGAGGCTGGTTGAGAGTCAGGATGCCAACCAAGACAATCAGGCTTTCACTAGAACTGCAAAGTCATCTTGCAGTTCATTGCACTTGTTATAAATATTTATATACCAACTATCTTTAAGAATATAGGTACAAAAAAGGTAGTTAAAGCTCAGCAAAGCATCAGATTAAAAAGCTTCCAAAATGGGCTTTTTCAAAATTTGAAAAAGGAACACATGAAATATTCATAAACAGTAGCAAGAGCATAATGCGAATAAATAGGTCAAAGATACCCACTTGTGAGGGGGGATTCCAGCATCTTCAAGCCGCTGCAGGAAAGGCTCTCTTTTTCCTGTCAGACAGAATGTTGATGTTGGTGAGTTGCACAGTAGAGCTTCTCCAGGCCATCTTGATACTCAGTCAAGCTCATATTAGAATAACTGGTTCTTCAGATATCCTGATCTTCACCCATTTAAGATGTTTAATTATGCCTGTAAATGAAACAAGAAGCCCACGGGGCTGTCTTTACAAAGGGAGTGACATGATCCCACTTACCAGCTTTGATTAATAATCTGGCTGCCTCAGTTTCTCTGGACACTTTTCAGAGGCAGTTCCTATAAGAAATGATTGCAGTAGTCTAGTCTGGATCACCTAGTCTGTTCTCGGTTCATGTCATTTGAGGAAAATAGCTGGTTCTTTGGTGTCACATCCAAAGGAAAGCGCTCTTGCTCTGTTGTGCCTGGATGCCTGACATTTGGCCCTGTTCATAGATTAAGAGCGAGGAATGAGTACAGTGTGGATGTGTCCTGTGACATGAGTAACCTTGCAAGATGAATTTAATGATATGAAGGTTAATTATATGTGAGCGATTTGTGATGATAGGTTAGTGGAAGAGCCGTTTAAATGCAGAAAGTCCCATGTTTGATCTCTGGAGTAGACAATAGTGGCATTAGTTGACAAAACATAGATTCACAGAAGATGCTAAACTCTAACTTCATGTCAACAAAATACAATTCCTGTATTTATATAACATGCAGTGCCCAAATGCGTAGGCCATATTATGCCTTAATCTGATGGCCTGGTTCATACAGCATGGGAAGACAATGGTTGTATTTCTACAACAGGCAGTATAACATACTATCCAAATTCATTTTGGCATAAACTAGCAAAAAGTCTGACATATTATATTAGAACTAGGGAGTATTAGTATATAGCTGGTTTTGTCCATCTTTGTATTATCTCTGACTTGCCAGAAAATGTCCTAAAATACTGAGACAGACTGAGGATGTCCTCATCATAATAAGCTCCTGAAATTCTCTAATTTGCTATCTCCTCTGGTAAAAACCATATGAAATTATTAGCATTATTATTTAATATCTATTCCATTTTCTCCACCCATCCACCCCATCCCCAAACATACTATCTTCTTCTGAATTATTTAAAGAATCATCTGAATGTTGCTTTTTTTTAAGAGGTGTGGCATCTTTCCATTTTAAACTAATTGCGGGATCATCTTAATGGGACATTCATAGGCTGAATGTTGTTAAAGGTTTCCAGTACAGGCAGCGTCCCTAATGTTTGTTTTCTAAATATTGTTCTTCTTTTCCTCCTCCTCCTCCCACAAAATATCTATTGTTTTTTGCTCCTGTGTGCTATGATCATTTACTAAGTTTAAGTCTGCATGAGAGTGCTCTTTTTCAATCCAATTCAGATTAATCTCTCTGTCAGATCTATAGGTGACTCTTTTATAATTTACTGGAGGGTAAGAGATTTACCTCATTAGTAATTGCATGTGTGGTTATGCAATAGACTCCTTCAAAATATGACACATGACCCCCAGGAAACTATGCTTGACAATAACTGACTTTGCAATTTACAGGGTTGTAACTGTTATACAGGTGGTCCTCAATTTAGAACCATTCGTTTAACAACTGTTCAAAGTTGCAGTGGTGCTGAAAAAGCGATTTATGACCGGTCCTCACATTTACTACCGTCGCAATGTTCCTGCAGTCACGTGATCAAATTTTGGGCGCTTGGCAACTGGCATGTATTTACCGCAGTTGCAGCTTCCTGGGGTTGTGTGATTGCCATTTGCAACCTTCCCAAGGGGCTTCCAACAGCCAAAGTCAATGGGGAAGCCAGATTCATTTAATTACTGCATGATTCGCTTAATGACCATGGTGATTCACTTAATGACCATAGCAAAAAAGGTCGCAAAATGAGGCGGGACTCACTTAATGACTGCATCGCTTAGCAGTGGAAGTTCTGGTCCCAATCGTGGTCATACGTCAAGGACTACCTGTATTTTCCCTAGCATTTTTGAGTACAATAAAAATTATAGTTTTAGAATACTATATTTTGGCTTTGTTCCATGTACCCACCCCCAAAGATACTAGGACTTTGAAGTTAGCTCACTGAAATGCTTTTTTAAAAGGTGCATCCATATAATTAATTCTTGAATTGGATTTAGTGATTTTTGCAAGCCTTTCCATAAAGCAGTACGGCTGGAGGGTAGTGCTGCCTCCCCTGGAAAAGGGAGGGTTTTCTTTGGGGAGGCACAGTGCCTGCTTCTCCACAACGTTTAGAAGAACCGTATTGCTTACAAAACTTTAAGATGCTCCCGATTCAGTGTAGGATTCTGCTCTAGTTTATTTCTGAATCTTTCCCTGGCCAGGTTTTGTTGCTTCAATTATATCTTTAATGGGAATGGCCATAATGAAGATTTAAGAGTTGTATATTGAAGAAATATATATCTTGTGAATTGCCAAGGAATGAAAACGGAATGAATGAATAAAATACATAAACTAGATAGGAATGTATAGCATTTTGTAAGGCACCACAAGTTTCAATGTATGCTGTTTATGAGAAACATATATTGAAAATATTTTTTGGAAGTCATGAACAAGTAGAGGTATTAATACTTTAGACTGGCCTTATTGTCAGTCAAGTTTTTCAACTACTGAATTATTGCGAGAGGAATTTGGACTGCCTAACTTTATGAAATAACACCTCTCTTTATTTCATAACTTATTCCAGATGTATTAAGCAGTGTCTAAAACTCTTAAATAATTGCCACTATAGGAGGGTTTTTTTAATTATTCAAAGATTCCAGTATACTTTTATAAACAATTAAAGAGTGTCACTAAGATGGATATTGGTTATTTGCAAGAATTATGGAATGAAGAGTTTGAACATCCCATCATAACAAATTAACAGCTAAGGGACTAAAGAATATTAAGCATATTTCTTATGATCTTAAGGCAAGACTAATTCAATAAAAGATTTTTTTTCATGTTTACTGGACACCCTGGAGAATTATTTAAAAGAGCCTGGTATCAACTTCACTGGGCTAGAAGTGTAAAGTGGGTGAGGGGACACTTTGACATATGATACAAGCTTATCTTATTATTGTCTGTGTTGAATAATATCTGTAAATGTGATAATATGATTTTACAGAGCTCAGTATGATTTAAAGAAATGAATCGTCTCTTGAAAGTTGGAACTTGTCTCTATGTCAAGTATTAGGAATTTTTGTAGGGACAACCAAAAAGATGGTTCCTCAATGCTTGAAGGACACTTATAATCTTGAATTGTCAATATGTGTTTGCTTACAGTTCTCTATTATAATAGATTATTTGAAATAGTCAGTATTTAATTACATTTTTAAAAACTGGGATGAATTATTTTTATATATAATACAATTTTTTGTTCCATTTTCTTGTATTTAATTTTGTGAGTTTTGTCCTTTATGTTTGCCTTTCTGTTTTCCTTTTTCTCTCTTTTTGTATATTAAACCAATTTAAATCAGAGAGAATGTTTTGGATGATATCTGTGGTAATTCAGCAGTCCTTTCCTGTTATAATTTCTGATTTGATATTACATATTCACATATTTTTTAAAAATCATTTAAGTGTTATGAAGTGTCCAAATATATCTGGACAGGTAGTCCTCATTTAATGACAGTAATTGGGCCTGGAATTTCTGTTGCTTAGTGATGCAGTCGTAAAGCACAACATCACATGACCGCATTGCTTAGCAGTGGAAATTCTAGCACTTCCAGTTGCTGTCATTAAGCAAATCACCACAGGTCATTAAGACGACGTCATCTGGTTGCCATTTGCGACCTCCTGCCAGCTTCCCCATTGACTTCGCTTGTAGGAAGCCAGCAAAGAAGGTCGCATACGGCAATCACATGACCACAGGACTGTGCAACATTGTAATTGTGTGCCAAGTACCAGGATTGCAATCATGTGACTACAGGGACACTGCAACCCACATAAGTATGAGGAGGACTAGTTGTGAGTACCACTTGTTCAGCGCTGTCATAAGTTTGAATGACGCTGAACAAATGGTCGTTAAATGAGGATTCTATGTGTCCAGATGTATCTATAGCTATATATAGATAGATATAGATAGATATATTTATTTATTTATTAAATTTGTATGCCGCCCATCTCCCCCAGTGGGTGACTCTGGGCAG